GCATCATCCACCGAGACGGTGCATTGACCAATTATGTGTGGGGGCCGGCTGGTATGTGGACGCCCACAGAAAGAGGACTCTTTTATTTAGCATGTTACCATGAGCATTCACTGATATTCATTCTTGAATATGGGCAACAGACACCAATGCACCATAGCGGTGTGTCATGCATTTTTGTTAGTTAGGCTATTGGAAGTTAAACAGTGTTTACTGGATCTATCAATGTTGAAACGTAATTGAACCCACTGACGTCGACTGGACACAGCATGACCATATTGTACGTGCCTATGTGAGATTCTCTCTGCAACTCCTCACTCACCCCAATAGTGCAGCCCCTTGCTTTGGGGTAGCTTTTTAATGCATTCAATCCAAACGCATGTGTGTTATGATGAACTCAGCTGTTCAGTGAGGATTCAATGGACAGATAGCCTACACTTAAAAAGAAAAAAGTGAGAATGAGGCAGTTTTTGAATATGAATTTCATATTCTTACCTCGAGGAAGGAGGCGCTGAGTTCATTTACAGTGAAATAACTGACATTTTGTGTAATTAGTATGAGTGATTAATTACCAATAAATATCAGTTAAAGCACTAATCTAATACTAATCTTACTACTAGTACTAATCTTTGGAGTTGAATAATTACACTTTAATTAACACATCAGTTTCATAAAGAAGTTTAAGAAATCAATCTCTGAATCAATGAAAGAATAGATTCTCTAGCACACTGACCGCTACTCGCTCAACAAAATAGACAAACGACATGGCCTTGGGTTTGAGACATTCAATTAATCTACACCTACATGACTACATTACTATACTGCTCTAATAGATAATTGAATGAATGATGATAATATAAGTGATGAAGAACATGATGTAGTGACAGAGGTCTAACTGTACGATGAATGGGAATTGTGATGGTCAAAGCCAGAAAAATCCTGTTGTCTATCGTGAACAGATGCCGCCAAGATTTAGGAAAAATTATTTTGAATAAATTAAGCTCTATCCTAGACACAGCAGCCTTTAACCATGGAGCCAGGTAGAGTAAAGACAGCTGAGCCTACTGTGGTTTGGTGTGTATGCCCAGGGCCGATGTCTGAGTGGATGCATTCCACAGTACATTAGAAGGTTCAGGCTCCTGAAGTCCTGCTCCGTCAGGCCAAGAAGACAGCTGGCTGTTGGCAGGAGGCTCGAAGTTTGGATCAGCTCCGGTTGGGTTTTCCTGGTCTAGCTGGATGTCATATAGGTTGTGTGGAGCTATACTGCTGCACGTTAGATTGAGTGATGCGATTCAGTAGATGCAGCTCTAGTAATTTGGACTTGGCAGTCTGCATTCAGGGTTTGGGGCTGGTTTCCTTCAGAAAGCTTGAAAATAAAAAACTTAAATTCAACTCAAAACTGAGTTGATGATGATCGCTTTACAAACGTGGTTTCCTTTTCATATTAAATAACAGGCTTGGAAAATATGAAAATACAACGTTACAACAAAACCACTATAACAAAGAGGAAAAATCAGGAGCACGCTCAAGGGAATAGAAGACACAGAGGTAAACAGATTAATGGCACAAGGTGTGGACAAAAACGCCCTTTCAGACAAAAGACTCATTAGAATAAACTTTTCTAAGTCTGTGACATGAGCCCAAGGAGGTGGTGGTTGTAACTTTAAATTTTAAAATGTAATGAACTCTTTTTACTGAGATCATAAATCTTTATTATTTAATCTGGTATTTAAATCTACTGAGTCTCTGTGTAAACACACTTCACTCTCACACCACATCACTGACTCCACAGAAGTGTTTTTACACCTATTTTTCACTCTAGTCATTTAAAGCCCCTTACTCACACTAAGATGATAGTGAAGCCTTTTAATAAGTCGAGTGTCTCAGTTTTAAATATTATACTGTAGCTCTATTGGTGACAAAGTGAGAAAAATCCCAAGTGTTAACTCTGCTTTAAGAATGATTTTCACTTTTTTGAGTGTGAATATAAAGCACCAGAAAAGTTCTGAAGTTACTGATGTATGCTCAGGTTTAAAAAGTGAGAGCTATTAAACATATTTATTTGAAACCAATGGCCAAACAAGTTCTGCTGCTCTCACATTTACAACTGAACAAATGCATTTAATATTTTGTAAATAAGGTTAAGGATAACCACCTTTATTTGGCCAGGCATGTTACACACAAGGAATTTGTTTCCCGGTACAGAATTGAGGCAGCCATCTGCGGCGCCAACTCAACCAATGGCTCTAACCATCACGGGCAACTTGGGGGTTCAGTGTCTTGCCCAAGGACACTTCAACATGTGGACTGCAGGCACTAAGATTCAAACCTCCGGTAGGGAGACAACTGCTCTACCCACTGAGCCACAGTTGCCCCCATCGTACAGGCGTACTATTAAGGAAAGAGTACCTCCTCATAACAGCCTCTTGACCTTTTGACCTCTAATAATATTATATTCAATCAAATCCTTATCCTTAGGCTGTGTGTTTTGTTTGTTTTTCTGGAGTAGACCTATTCTATCCTGGCAACACATGGCAACTTTTGAAGTCTCCTTTATTTAACTTACTAATAGCTCCCAAGTTGAAGTAGCACTTTGCATGCTCCACTGACTTTATCTCTATAGCTGAGATCTCTTGAGGACGTTCACAATGTTTGACAGGGCATTTAAGTGTGCCACAGGCTAGCTACAGTAGTGATGTTCAACCTCAGATCAGCACAACTTTATACAAACCTTCACTTCTCACTAGTGATGTACAGTAAATGTAAACAAAAATCACCATTTCGTAGGTGTCTCGGTTTTGAAGGCAAAGTTGGGTTCATTTTCAGTACAGTAAGGGAAAAAATAAAATTGGTTGTGATTTGATTGATCTTTGTAAATATCAAGTTTATTTTTTTTTTGTTAAATAAATGAAACAGAAATAAAATATATATAAATAAACTTGAATAAAAAAACTGAATACTGCTGCAGACTACTACTAAGAAGAGCTCCAATAACCAGGGAAAGGCTGTTTAAAAGAAGAGTGAGGCAGTGTTTATACTGTGCTCATTTGCTCCTTGCAGCAGTGATATTTGTGCCTGTGTGGTGCTGTTTCAAATGAGTTAGCAAGTTTGATGTGTTGCCAAAAACATACACAATCACCACTGAATGGACATATTAAGTGGTGGAGCAGAGAACAACAAACAGACAAGACTTCTTTTCCACTAGGCTTTGTTTGTTTTTGTATTTCCCAAACAGACCTTAATGATAAGGGAGGGTCTTCCAGCTCTGCTTCTCATTTGCACTGGCCAGAGGCTTGGCTAAGCGATGCCAGAGAGAGTTCCAGTCCACCACTTAACATGGTTGTGTGGGAAAGTGGATTTGAAAAAAGGTTATGCATGTAAAACGAGCCTACTGTTAACTACTATTAAAGATTGCATTCGGTACACATCCGTATCGTACTTACAGTCCTGTACCAAAACAATTCTGCATGAACATTTACACCACTAATATTTACCTTTCTTCAATGTCTCATCTCTCTTTCACAAAAAGATCACTCAATGTCTCATCTCTCTTTCACAAAAAAGATCACCTCTTTCTCTCTCTCTACTGCCACCTCCCTGCGCTCTTTAGTGGAAAAGCTTTCACCTCTCCTGCAGACTAAAGCTAAGAACAAATGTTTCTATCACAGCTAACCTACAAAACCTCTGTGACTCTGACAAACATAAGAACTAGCATGGTATGAGTTTTCACTTTAACAAATTTGTCTCAGTCATCTTAATTGGTTTTGGATGTGTTCAAACCGCATTTTGTCAGACCCCAATTACACTGCGCTTCATACAAGATGTTAAAGGCTCAGTCTGGAAATTTAACATCAATTGGACTTTCTCATTGCACCCTGATTCAGTAAAGTTTGCCAGGACATAATTCTACATAATTATTTCATGAAACAGTAAGAAGTCTGTAACTTCATTTGGAATTGACTCCTTGCCCTCTATTGTATCCCTCCGGAAAACTCAATCTCCATGGGACTGGGGATTCTTCTCTCTTTAATAACAGCTAAACACATCAACACTGCTCTTCCAAATACCTGCCAAGCCGTTAGGAGCAAAATAAGAGATGGAAGTCTAATGAAAAGCGGTTTAATAGAAGAACAAGACAAAGGTGGCTCAGAGGCTTGCTGCTGTTTAATTCAATGGGATGCTCCCAGTGCCTGAAGACTGGCCCATTTTAATTGCACTTCTATCTCATTTATAAAAGGAAGTATGCAGCATTACAACCTTAATGAATCTGAAAGCAAGGCAGGTTATTCACTGTCTTTCTTTCACATGCATAGAAGGATAATGTGATTGTGCTGGTTGAGCCCACATGTTTTGGCACACCACTGCTGTCTGCAGCTGCCAGTTATAGTACACACACTCACGGCAGAGAAACCTGTGTGTTATTTCTCTGACAGAAGAGGCAGACAAGCGTATGGGCAATTCGCTTCTACTGTATGTGGTTCATGTTAATATACAGTATACATGCTAATCTAATGTTCACAACCCCTCTTTCTTGTGCTTTTTGTCAACAACACATCTATGTATACACACAAATCTATATTTACAAGCACAGACAAGAATGATTATTACCCTCTGAGAAGAAAACTGAGTGTAAGTCGATGAGGAACAAGAAGAACAAAAATAACATATAACCACCTCTTAATCTCAATAACCTCATCATCATCAGAATTGTTAATCAATAACTCTAACATAGACCCAATCAACCATTTCATCAATGACTTAGTTACACCTATCAGTTTCATATCAATCGACATAACAGTATAACTACTATACCATAAATCCAGTTATAATCAACTCCGCACTACTGTTGTCACTATTATTATTATTATGATTAGACATCTTCATCAGCAATCATCACTGCTGTCATCAGCAGCAGCTTCCTCTGGAGTACCTGAATTATACAGCACCACATGAAACACCTCAACAACAACAGACCAGAGAGTCAAGGGTGAGGTGAAGCTTACCTTTGCCATCTGTGCCTGGACCCCGCTGGCTTTGAGTGAGGCCACAGCCTTCTGGGCTGCTGCAGGGCTGTCAAAGTCCACAAAGCCATAGCCTAAAAAAGACAGATGAACAGCTGTTAACACAGTAAAGAGGAGCTGGGTGAGTAAATAAAGAAAAAGTTAATACTGGTCTGAATGTTGACATGCAAATAGTGTTAATTTCTGTCAGTGAGCCAAACTGCACTGCATAAATCTAATGAATGTGTCAAAACCAAGTCAGGTCACATATTTAATGAAAGCTTCTATCTCCCCTAGTAAATGTGTTTTAGCACAAAACATCAGCAGAGTTGTGTTGAAAAAAATTACTTCTGCTCTATCTGGTTTATGATCCAAGAGATCTTTTAATGTTTGCACAAGTTTGTTTTTGTTATTTATGCCTCCTGGAGGCATTATGTTTCCGGGTTTCCGTCCATCCATATGGCCCATTCTTGTGAATACGATATGTCAGGAAGGCCTGGAGGGAATTTCTTCAAATTTGGCACATGTGTCCACTTGGACTCAAGAATGAACTGATTAGATTTTGGTGGTCATCGGTCAGAGTCAGTGTGACCTTGTCTTCATCCCGTTCTTGTGAATGTGATATGTCAGGAACACCTTAAGGAAATTTCTTCAAACTTGGCACAAACCTCCACTTGGATTCATGCATGAACTGATTAAATTTTGGTGGACAAAGATCAAGGTCACTGACTTCATATCTGTCCCATTTTCATGAATTTGATTGGCTGGCAGAGACATACAACTGCAAAGTGGTAATTCTATGTTTTTACAGCTCTACTAAATAGAATCATGTCCATGTTTTATAATGGCTCTAATATCTTCCAGTGCACTCCATGGTGGGGCATTATGACACCATGTATACAGTGACTCAGTACTGACGAAATCCACAATTTTACATGTGCAATTTATGACCTTGCCATTGTTTGACATTTAATATTCCAGTGCACGGCATGTGAGCTCATTCTCTCTCTGTACCTGCGTGTACATATGGTGCTCCTATAGCAGTGGTCAGTACTGTATGCATCTGCACCGGTGACATCAAGAAACATTTGTTAGATTTAATGAAGCAATTGAAGTGATTCAGAGACTTGTTTAAAGAAATACCGGTAATGGCATAAAGAGAATGAGCCCCAGTTGATTTTATTGCGATAAAGTTTGCATCATGTTCTCTGTGTGTGTATCCATCAAATTGTTGAGGCTCGGCAGATCTAGGTTGGGCCCTGCAGGAAGCTATGAAAGACAAAACGTCTAAACACACGCATATCAATCTTTACTTTCCAAACTACACCCTATTTTACCGGGTCACACGGGTGGGACTGGAAAGAGATGTCAACTAGAGAATCAAAAAAGACATGGCCTGTCTGCAGTGTGAATGACAGCTTGTTTAAAAGGGTGTGTGACATATGTGAACAAAACGGAGAGACTGTCAGCGCAAGAATGGTTTTGACTGAGTGAGAAAGTAATAAATGAGAGATTCTGACACACATCCAGTATGCTGGACAGAAAAATGTTTGGAAAGTACAGCAGCTTTGAAATTCCAGTATTTTTTTGAGTGGGCTGCATGTTAACACAACTAAATGATCCACATTTCAAAACTCACTCATTACAGTCCTAATTGAAAACATGTTTGGAATTGGGGAATACACTTCCTCTCTCTCTTTCTTCCTCATTCACACTCACTTTCTCGCTCCCCTCCCCTCTCTCTCTCTCTTCATTCCTAACATCTGTTCTTGTCTGTCTGCCTTTTCCAGGAATTGGAGCCACGCTCTGTTTTGCTGATAAGCAGATGACTTTTTATTGTTCAAAGGCAGCATGCTGCTTTCGCAGCAAGATATGCACTACACACACAAATATTTATACTCTTGCTAATGAGAAATCCATAATTTAGCCAAACATGTGAGTCCTTACTGTAGTCCATATTGCAGATCTACACAGATATGCACAGAAAACAGATTCCTAGAAGTTTTGCAAGCATGAATACACACCACATACACAAGCAGTCACTGTGTTTTTTGTACTTAATCTGTATTTATCTAATTGAGGCCACACCAAAACAGCTGAACTAATTGAAAATGCACATAGTAGCTTGGCAAGATGCTTTCATTTCCATATCTCATCTCACACTTTAACTAATGGGTGTTTGTTTAACTATAGACTGACCATGTAATTAGTGGGAAAATAAAACCCAGAACTCAGCTCACAGTGGATAATCCACTCACTATTAGTGCAAAACAGAGGCCTTTTGTTTGATGGCAGTAGCTTCAACATTATCAGTAGAGCACCTGGTTGTTCAGTAGAGCGACTACTTTGACAAAGGTGGTGCTTTAAAAATAAAACATGTGGCTATTAAAAAAATAATGACCTGTCAGGTTTATCACAGCTAAATAAATGATCAGATAAAGTTTCAGTTGCTTGCTGAGCTCTGTCGGTCTCTACACAAAACAATCATAGACACCTTTAAACTGGCACATTTATGGAGAACTTTATTTGTTAACGATGACTTGTTATTTTTTGGGAAAGACATGTTATCATATATATATATATGTGTGTGTGTGTGTGTGTGTGTGTGTGTGTGTGTGTGTATGGGTGGTTAGCATATGGTGTAGGAATATGTCCAAGTTTGTGTGTTTTAGTGTGTCTGAATATGTGTTAGCGTGGGATATTGCTTGAATTAATGTTTCTCATTTTGCGTAACACACTGATTTCCTTTTCCTCGTTATCAACAAACTGCCAATTTCCTCTAAAAAAGTAAGCACCAGCATAAAATTAGAATGTGGTGCACAGCCCTCTTCACCCATAGACGCACATGAAAAAACATAGGTTCCTCTAGTGATTGACTCCTGATTGACCTCTGACCTCCTAACTCTCCATCAAACCTGATTCTCTGATACACTCTTCCTCACCGTGACTCTCATCAAGCTCAATGTCATCACTGTCAGAAGGAATGACATACAGTACAGTAACTGCATAATCATATTCCTTCCACCCATGAAATGTTCCTCCATCTGTTTTCTGTGAGTACTTTTAGACGCTAACATAAATACATAGACTGTGGTCACATGTATGCATCCCAGGACATCTCTGTGCATAGTGTGACACTGCCCTAACAAAAGTTGTCTAACTGCACAATGTTACCCTGAGCAACAAATGAACAAACACAATTTTAATATATTAATACAAACAAAATATGTTTTAACCAATCAAATATACCTCTTTACATACTTAGGCACATGTATATATTTGATATAAATTTATATCAGTTTAAACATGTTTAAAAAGTGCTATGTATCTCACCAGTTGCTGGCCCTGTGTCCCATGCAGCTTTGCTTGCTGTACCACAAGACAAAAGGTCAAACCCACTTCAGAGCCTTATTTCATTGGACACAGACATGCCTTGATATTTAAAAATAAAAAATAAATACATAAGAGGACAGTTTGAGGTCCAAAACTGTGGTTTGTTGCCTGAGGTCAACACCCTGACCTTAACAGAGGGCTAAGTAGTTTATTTAACCATTTCCACTTCCTCATGTGTGATAATTAAGCATGAAATTCATCGTGGATTATTATTTTTCTGTGTTGGGAGGGCAGCAGTTCCATGATACAGTATGTTTGCATAAACATTTTAATTTTATGGCACCATTAGTCACCCATGGCTTTAATAGCCAATTTTCAGTTATTTGGATCCATCCAGTTTGCAAAAGTGAAAGGTTTTACAAAAAACAAAACACTTGACAAATCAGATTTATAGTCTGTCAGTTCAGACTGTGTAACAGAGTCAGAATTATACGATACTGGGGGTTTTAGTGGCATGAAACAGTGTAACACTGTATAATATTCTTATGAGGAACTTAATTGGTGTTCATAGCATGATTTTGACATGACCTGATCCAAATTAATCTTTCAATATTTCTTTCACAGTGGACTAGCAACATAAGTGTTATATTCATAACACCCACACATCGGCAACACCACAACAAGTGTGGTGGTAACCTAGGTGCTAACAGGAAATTCTCTCACCCATAGCACTCGGGTATAATTGGTCAGTTGTGTCAGTTTAACACCAGCAAACTAGACGCTGGAGATTTTTATCTGCAGTGCAACCAGGAGCCACTTCTGGGATGTGCTCCATTTACAGATGTACTACGAAGACTCTCAAATGTGTCCTTAGCATTATTGTACCAGACAACTGAGTACATGTCTCAGAAGCCTTGTACATGCCCACTTAATAAAATATTGAGTCTTGGTAGATTTTAGCATGTAATCTAACTTTGCCCTGCACACTTTAGTAGGTCCTTACATGTCAATATACATGTCACATCCATATCTAGACACCACTCACCACCCTATAGGCATGAGTAATAGGGATATTTTCCTGCAACTGCTCATGTCATTTACTCTCAAGGAGAGGTTTTGTTTTCTGAAAATAGGAGGTCAGAGGTCAAATAATCAGCAACAGAACACACCCCAGGAGGTGGTATGGATTCATTGTCTTGCTCAAGGACACTTCAGCTGGGTGGAAGCTTGCTGAGTCTGTGGGCAAATGCCTGTTTTCCAATCTGATGGACAGTTTGCAAAATCACTGCACCATGCTTTTGTCCCAGTGTGTAATTTTTACATTTTCATATAACCTTTACACTAAACCACTACGCTATTTAGTTTGGTAAAACCCTCATCCCCTGTGGATGTAAATGATAGTCCTTCTGGGCATGATGATAAGGAAATTTCCGGAAAATGGGGAAATGAAAATAATATCTTTGAATTATAAAATCCTTCTCATTTGTGCCCTCTTCCTCCCATCTGTGGCCTCATGATGACATGGAAATGAAAATCCTCTTGCCATCTCACTCAGTCTGGCATGACAGTTACTCTACTCATGAATGATTTTTTTTAAGAAGTGTGAATACACACATATATGTGCTCATAAACATACATGGAAGCAGACATAAACACACAAACATCCCAAACTTACATTTAATCTCCTGAGCCCCCAGAGTTCCTGGCCTTGGGCCATTACAATGGGCTAACCAAAGGGAACAGGAGCAAAGGAGGCAGAGCAGAAGAGGAATTGGGGTGAGGCAGTGAACTGCAGGGAGAAGGAGCAAGTGGCAGGCACAGCTAGAATGAGAGGAGCATTGGGAGAGGGAGGGGGAGAACAGACAGGAGACATGGAGACAGTGAGAGGGGGAGTGCTTGTCTTTGGGAAATGGAAATCCGTTACAATCTAAAGTGGTTTCCTCTTCCCTTCCTTCCTCTATCCTGTGCTCTGTGGCCTCTCCTGCCCCCTGAGCTCCCACGCTACTAACTAGAAAACTGTCACTGTATGCAACACTGAGCTCATTACAAACCTGAAAACTTTTCAAAGAAAACTTTCATATTATTTTAGAGAACAAAGCAACATTTTTGCTTTCTTTATTTGCTTAGCTGGCAACTAATTAAACAAATTCTAAGGATCATGTTTATAATGAACCCACTGTATGTACCATACATTCATACAGTATATTTACATACAGGTCCAGAGAGAATCATCAACTTTTCAGGGACAAAGTAGGAAACATTTCATTGATTTGAAAGAATTTTGAAAGCCCAGGAATAATCAAATTTCACAACGAAATCATTTAGATGAAGTAAAACATTCACAGAAGTTAAAACTGATAGCATACAAACACTAACAACAACAAACAAGCTTATCCCTTTACCTGTTCCTTTGTTTCACACTCTCGGTCTCTTTTCTCTGCAAAATATTCCTGATAAATGCTAAATCATTAGTTTCAAAGGGCCGTCTTGCTTTTTTGTCACCCCAGGTTATTTTTAGTCCCTCACTCTACCTACCCATGCTTCCTCCCATCCATCCTTTCCTTTCCAAGAGAACTCTGTGCCAATTTGTACTCTCTTAGTCACGCTAAGTACTTATCTTGTCCCCACTGAATGCCTCTGCAATCAAACCAACACTTATCCGGTTGTAAGGCATTCTAATGGGCGACTGATAATGAAACTCCTTCATTGTGAATTAACAGCTGGCTAAGAGATGTATGAAGTCTACAGCACAAGTGGTGAAAATGCTGATGAGGACCACAGCCTGAAAAATTGCCTGTGTTTCTACAACTGCACCTGCAGCATTCTGGGTATTCTATGCATTAAATAATAAGCATAAATTTATAGCTGGGTGCACGGGTTTGCATAGTGAAACAGTCCTGTTTTCCTAAAGACTAAAGGCGGACCTGGTATGTGGTTAAACACACAGCTAAATATGGATCAAAAAGAGAAACAAATCATTTCTTTGAAATGAGCAGATTGTTTTTCTTTCACAAGCAGCTTTTACACAGAGATCGCTGCAAACTGCCGGCACTTTGACTTTCCTTCAAGGTTGCTTTTTTGATTTAAACCCTTTTATACTGAAATTAAAAAAAGCCAGAAAACTGCTGCTCCTCTGTTGATTTTATACACTGCCAGCACCCTGGTACTAAAGGCATGATGCTGATCATGACATCTGACGGTCCGTGCACTTTGTGGCCAATGTGAAAACTAAACAAATAGGCTGTCATCTGATTTAGTTTTCTATATTTATAAGTGGAAATCTGGCATTACAGTAGCTTACTATGTGCGTCTAATTTTAGGACTGTGTGTCTGTTTGAGGGCAGGGCTACACACACACACACACACACACACACACACACATATACAAGGTGCACCTCGCCTCAGAACAGATAGAAGTATACGTTTTAGCTGCATTCACCCTAAATCCTTCCTACAAGGTTGTGCAGAGGTGTGACTACAGCTAAAACAATCAAAATAAAGCTTTAATTTTCCAATTCACTTTATTTTTACTACGTCTGCTCTCGCTCTAAGGGTGTACATACTAATGCAAGTAAAACATTTCTCTTTTGTGCAAGACAACACTTAAACTATTCTAGTAAGAGAAAGAGAAACACCTTTATTAGTTATTTAGCATTTGTAAAAGGAAGGATGATGCCATGATTAGCAAACATAAATGTCAAGAACATAAGGCTGTAGTGAAACAAGTAGTGAAAACTCAGTTTGATGTAAGACCAATAACATTTTTTAATGAGCTGAGAAAATGGGAAAATAATTATTACTGGGTTTAGAGTAAATTCTACCTTCTCACATTTCAATATGCTTTCAGAGCTCAAAGCTATATTTGATTATGTGATTCCAAAGCAAGTACTGGAATTATGAAGTCAGTAAGGTGTACTATGTAGCTGGCTAATTTAAAAAAAAAAAAAAAATTCCATGATAATAATTGAAGTTAAAGAGTTTTCAGAGTAGATTCCCTGACATTTGGTTTTCCCATTATAATGTTAGGGCAGGCAGGACTTCAATCATTTACTCAAAATATTTTATTCAGTGTAATCAAAGCAAATGAAGTCTTTGAATATGAATTAACATCTCTGACTTTGAATATGAATTAACATCTCTGCCATCAATATCAATCAGACTGATTTTATTCTTCACTCGCACACATTGAAGCCAATATGCTGATTACAGGGCATTCGTGCTGTTGTCCTGAAGCATGCCAGTATACCTGTGTGCAGTGGAGTCCTGGCAGCTGAGCAGCAATCATGCTGAACACATTCTCATGTGTGCCTCTTCAGAAGCAGACGGCTACAATCATATTGATTAGTGCTTTCTTCAGACCACTCAAACAATCAAACAGACCCTCATCAGAAGACACTCGAGTGAGCCTCATTCACCAGAGAGTATTTGAAACACACTGTGGCTGTTGTATGGTGTTCTCCGTTTTGGTTTGGCCAATGACAACAATATGAACAGCTTGTTTTCAAAAGCTGCTTAAATCTGAGTATTCTTATGGTGCAATCCGGAAATCATCACCCTGGAGAGGTGCAGTACAACAAAACTAATGTACTCAGCTGTCATTTAAAAAGATTAGAGGTTGACGTGGTCATTATGGAAGTCCTTACCGATGTGTTATATACAGGGTAGAAACACACACCCATACCACATAGAAACACACAACTCTAATGCAAACACATACCCTGTAATAGCACACTGGTGTCTCATACAAGTAATTTGCTTTAACTTGACGTTACACTGTCTGGTGATAGACATTTCAGCCTATTGTGAAAACCTTTGGCCACTGAGTCATTGGGAATGCTAAAACTGCACAAAAGGGAAGACTATTTAAAACAAAACCACCACCCACAGTGCTCTCATTGATCTGCGCTTAAGCTGCCAAATTCAGGCAATTCTCAATTGTTGCTTTCCACGTTCAAATCACATATCAAAATCTGAGCCTGTGAGGTATAGTTTGACTTTGCAAGGCTGCAAATAACATACTGGATAAAGTCAACAGATGCTGACTCACCTTTGCACTGATTGGTGTTCTTGTCCAGGATGGCTTTTGTTGATACAATCTTACCATATCTGAAAAACAACAATGAAACATTCTGATTAGTTGAATCAGTTTTTCTATTCTTAACATCTGGAGCAATACTGGTTGTTCTATGTCTTTAATGCAAATGAATTATCCATGGATCTAAAGTAGCAATGTTAGTGCATCAGTCAGATATTCTGTAGGCCCATATCTGTGGTCCAGACTGAAATAGTGGATGAACTGTCATCAGTACGAATGATGTTTGAACATTTATGGTCTCCAGATGATGAATTCTAACATCTTTGCTGACCCCTGAGTTTTCATCTAGTGGGACCAGGGAGGTTCTCATTTCAGGTTTTGAACAGAGTGCCATAATATCTGTTGGATCCGGATTCTGAATCACTTGTTGTTCTGCAGAGCAGAGTGACATTGACCGTGTGTGAACAAATAAACAACCTTATCAACAAACCTTGTGACAGACGAGTGCAACACTTGTAACCAAGGTAACTTTACACCACAAAGATGGCAATGATTGTAGCCTCAAAACTAAATAAATATTAAAAATGCAGCACAAAAGTAAGACTAAAATGTCACAAATAGAAACTAGACTAAAAGATCTTCAATTTCTTGATGATTTAAACAAAAAAATCTAATATATTTTGACTAAAGTTAAAAATTTGTCTTAGTTTTTTATAAAAAAAAAAACAAAAAGACTAAGATTAAAACAAAATCAAAATCATTGCTACAGTTAATGCTGGTTATCACCTGGTAAGATTTCTTTGAGGTTCATAAGCACTTGTGTCTAAAGTGTCATGGGGTAACACAATGGTTTGCATTCAAGGTCAATTGGATTCTGTCAAGTCTTTATGGAAATCCCACAGAGGAACATTATAATAATCACTTTTATTTGGCCAAGTATGTTACACACAAGGACTTTGTTTCCGGTACAAAACCAAGGCAGCCATCTGTGGCGCCAACTCAACCAATGGCTCTAACCATCAGGGGCAACCTGGGGGTTCAGTGTCTTGCCCAAGGACATTTCAACACGTGGACTGCAGACACTGAAATTCGAACCTTCAACCCTCCGGTTGGGAGACATCTGCTCTACCCACAGAACCACAGTCGCTTCACACCTCAAGTTTCCAATCCAATCCTGTCTCCTTAAAGAAAAGGCTTTCCTACTTTGATTTGAACTAGAGGTTCAAAAAATGTACATGATGTTCTTGGAGAAAGCCAGTCCCACCAGATCAGCTTGATTCTGCTTTTGAATAACTCTGTAAGGTGGATGTTAGTCAGCTGAAGAACCATAGATCATCTAAGAGCTATTCATGCACAACCACCTACTCTCCCCTTTGCATAGACTTTAAGACACTGAGATGTTTTATTTCTGTAGACTCTGTTGGGAAAATATTGTTTTCTGACCCTCAACTTCAGAGCAAAATGTAAGGGATTATTTTGTATGTGAAAGCTATTCTTATCCCTCTGTTTCCACCCAGAGAAATTTAGCTGCAATGACCAGCTTCTTTCTCTGTCACAACTGTATAACATGTGAGAGTTCTAAGAAAACTAGTACTTTCACAAGTCACACTACAGGCACAAACTACAGCATCAGGCAGCATCTCGGCAGCACATGTGTTTGTGTTATTTACCTATTCTCATGCCCAGACAGACTTCAGTACGTTGGGAAAACAAGCAAACCTGTTAGAACATGCATCTTGGAACACAGAAGTGCCATATACAGAAATGATTTGAAGTCACTTGCATAAAATTATGAAGAAGCTGGTCATTCAGCCCCAACACTGTCCTTCTGTGCCTCACAACAGATTACTAAAACCATGAACAAATGGTGATACAAATTAAAAACTACTTAGAATGTAAATGATCTTCTACATGAGATCATTGTAAGGTAGCAGGTCCTCTGACCAAAACTTTGATTCACATTTTTTTTCACTGTGTCACTTTTTGTCCATGGAATGAATTTACTTTGCTCAAAGCTTAGCCACCTCGGCTATGTTTAGCGGCAGTGCTATTGAGCAAACATGCTAAGATGTTCTACTATGATGGAAAGCCTGGTACACTTTATATCATCTTAACATCCACATATTAGCATTGCCACTGTGACCATGTTAACATGGCAGCTCCACTAGCGTCCTTGTCTTGATTCATATCTTTATGAGATGGTACACGAAAGAAATTAGTCTCTAAATTTGAAAAATGAAGCCAGCTCTTGAGGAAAAAATGCAACTGCAAGTGAGGTTTTCACAGGTTCAAGACTAAATCTAAAAAGTTTGGGTAAAATAAATTAAAAATAGCACAGAATTGAACAAAGACTGATCCTGCTTCAGTTTCTTGGAGTGTCCATGAGAAACTCCACCTTACCGCAGTTATATTTTCCCTCTGTGCTTCTATCTATCTATTCTGTCCTTATCTATTTCAAACCCCAACTGCAGCCTCAGAACACAGCCAGTACTGTCTCATAAATGATGATAACTAGACACCTGTATGGCAGTGAATCCCCTAGAAGGGCTTATAAGAGAGAGAGCCACCCTCCACACCTCTTTCAATCTGTTCTCTCTGCCAACTTTTAATCTCTGCTCTTCTAATGTCTGCTGTCCATTTTGGTTCCTTACTCTATATCTTGCATTTGACACCCCTGAATCTCTTTGTCTTCTCCCCTTATATGCACCTCCAGCCTTCTTCTATTCTCCTGCTCTCTGTTCTCAGAAAGAAGTTAATAATGCTTCTTATCATCCCTGTCTTTGAGTCATCCTGGAAAGAGAGGAATGAGAAACAGGGAGAAAGCTGAGAAGGTATGAGGAGAAATGGGAATCAAAACAGGGAGGCACGGGGAGAGAGACAGAGAGAGAAAGTGACACAGTAAGCTTAGATCACTGAGATCAGCCTGGATCACTGCCTGGCTCTGTGGATGAGACTTTTTAATTAATGTTTTAACACTGTCCACAATGACTGAATGGCTGGCTGAGTGACTATCAAGCAGATTGACAGAGTGACTGGCTTGTTGACTGGCTCATGACCCCAGGTGAGGGATGGAAGTATAGTCCCTCTTTCCTTTTAGAGTGCAAAAAGGGACCAAACAAGGGAGGAGAGAAAATGATAACAAAACCAAGGAAAAGATACAACGTAGGATGTTCCAAGCTAAGAGGGTAAAGAAAGCGAGGGGAAGAAGAGAGAGACTCCGAGGAATGAAAAATAGACGAGGAGAGAGAGAGCAGTCAGTCAAAAGATAAAAAGAGACACTGAAGGCGAGGAGGAAGCGAGGTAGTCAGGAAGCGATAGAGAGATAGTAAGAGGTGTTTAATAAAGAAGAGATCATTTAGTTGTCACCATCAGGAGAGTCTCTGTCAGCCAACTGCTTCTGTCAGTGAGAAGAAGAGAACAGAGACTAGCTCGCCTGACAGCCTCACATCAAACCCCACTGGGACAGTTGACTTTAGAAATAAAGACAGAAAAAGGCTTTTAAAGGCTGCTATCACACATAACACAACACCTGAGCATCTTATAATCTCAAAACTGGTAAAGATAAAATCAGTTTTCTTTTCCAGAGTAATATACAATTTTCACATCGTTTGCTGCATTTTAAAACATTTTTAGATTATTTACAAATCCACCAATTGTGACAGGCTGAAATCAAATCTAATGTTTGTCTGGGACTTTTTTTTTACATAGCTGGTGGTAAACAGGGTCCTGGGCCTGCAGTTTGGGGAGCAGACATGAAAAACAAGGCAGGACTAATCACCCACACATCAACAGAAAACAAACACACATGCAGATGCATACACAATGCAACATCACGTCAAAAACACCAAAGCGGTAATCACACACATTACGCACACCATCTGGCAATACCCAGTTCTTTGTTGACTTCTGCCTCTGTGTGATTCAAACTTGTGTGTGTGTGTGTGTGTGTTTAAACACCTAGATTGTGAGTGTGTGTGCCTGGACACATTTGAGCATACAAACACTTGTGTGGGTGCAGTTCTTTGCAATAGTATGTGTGTGTCTGTAGAGTGAGTATGAATGCATGACAAAGATCTCATGCACCGTCGGTGTTTTGGCAGGTTGTTTTCCTGGCAGAAACGTGAAACATTTCCAGACTCTGTTTGTTCAAATGTGTGTGTAGGTGTGGGTGTGGGTGTGTGTGTGTGTGTGTGTGTGTGAAAAAGAGAATGAGGAGAAGAGAGAAAAAGATACCTGGCTTGACACGTTATGAATCTTGAGAAATATGTTCACAGTTGTCTGTTTTCACAAAGTGTAAAACAAATACAGTGTATGTTTAATGTTTCTCTCTCTGTGTGTGTGTGTGTGTGTGTGTGTGTGTGTGTGTGTGTGTGTTATCATCCCATCAATGTGTGTGACATATAAATCCACCTGTTTCTTCTCTAGTTGCACAATTTAGCTAGACTGAAAAACAATAGAAGGCGAGGAGAGGAAAGGAGAGCAGAGGAGCATGAGCCCATTACCTTAGGGAAATGTCAAATTACAACAGAGCGTCATCCAAAATGATGTCTCACTTTTGACTTGACTCAGTATGAAAAGTCCATTTTATCCAAACAGCTACAACAATTTGCTATTGTGGTGAAGAAATGGAAGAAAGTCCTGGTGATAGATCAGATGATGAAGTGAGGGGGATGAGAAGAAAATGGAGGGAAGAGGGGAAAGTGCAGGATGTCCTGTTCAGTGTCCAGGTTCCGAATGAAAGACTTTCATTGATTCCAGCAGAATACAGGCCAGTTCAAAAGTACTGGGCATCAACCTGCACCTGATGGCAGTGAAACTTAAGACATTCATAAACACTGTTTAAATGTTTAAACCACACCAACAAAGGACTACAGGGAGCCAGATCAGGGTTAGCATTTCCAAGAAACTGCAAGTGAACAGGCTGTGAAAGGGATCTGAGGATGTGATTTGTTTCTACTGGATGTTCATCATGACAGTTTTCCAACAAGCTTGGCAAAGTTACTCACGTTCTGTAACCACATTTCTTCAGTGCTACTTGATACATGAGAAAGTAAAATACTGTGTTTAGGTC